GCCTGCTACTCTGGGCATCCCTGAGTTGTCTCTCCTCACCTGTAAGCCTGGGGCTGACTGCTCTTCTGTCCGGGTTCAAGGTTTTTATAAGAGACGTCAAATTAAGTGATAGTAACCGTGAACTTCAGTATTATGTTGATGAAATAGTCTTCTTAAAAGCAAAGACTTGATCTTCCTTTCATCAGTTTCCATTCCATATAGTCTTTAGTCTCTTTCCCAGCAGTGCTGGTCCCTCGGTGTCTCCCTCAGCAATGCGTGTCTCTTGCGTCTCTTTCTCAGCAACACGTGTCTCAGGAGCCCGTGTCTCTTTCAGCAGCAGGTCTTCCTCAACCAGCAGTCGGAGAGAGGGGTGGTATCTGTAGGAAAGTAGATTGTCCCCCTGGTCTCTCTAATGACCTTTTAATTTCTTTATGTATGATGTTCTTAATGTCATCCCACAACTTGTCTGGTCTTTGGTCATTGGTGTTCAGTGTTTCAAATCTGTTCATCAGACAGTCTCTAAATTCAGGTAATCAAGGTCATATTTTGGCTGTCATGGATTTTTAATAATTTTCTTCAGCTTCAACTTAAACTTGCATGAGCAATTGATGGTCTGTTCCATAGTCATCTCCTGGCCTTGTTTTGACTGAAGATATTGAGCTTCTCCACATTGCCTCTTTCCACAGATGTAGTCAACCTGATTCCTGTGTACTCCATCTGGTGAGTTCCATGTGTATAGCTGCTGTTTATGTTGCTGAATAAAAGTATTTGCAATAAATGAGTCATTGGTCTTGCAAAATTCTGTCATGTGATCTCTGGCATTATTCCTACCACCAAGGCCATATTTTCCACCTACCAGTGATTCTTATTTGTTTCCAACTTTTGTATTCCAATCACCACTAATAATCAGCACATCTTGATTGCATGTTCCATCAATTTCAGATTACAGAAGTTGGTAAAAATCTTCATTTCCTTGTCTTTGGCTTTAGTGGATGGTGTGTAAATTTGAATAATAGTAGTATTAACAGATCTTCCTTGTAGGTGTATTGATATTGTCCTATCACTGACAGCATTGTACTTCAGCATAGATCTTGAAACATTTTTTGTGACGATGAATGCAATGCCATTCCTCTTCAATTTGTTATTCCTGACATAGCAGACCATATGATTGTGCGATTCAGAATGGCCAAAACAGTCCATTTCAGTTCACTAATGCCTAGGATATCAATCTTTATGCTTTCTATTTCATTTTTTACAACTTCTCATTTTCCTAGGTTCATACTTCTTATATTTCACATTCCAATTATAATAACAACACACAAGTCACCACAATGCAAACTGACAGATGAGTGGTGGGAGTTATGGATACATGGAGTCAATTATATGACTATTTATTTCTTTTAGAAATTTTTTATAATTAAAAGTAAATCCCCTAACAATCAATTCAAAGTTTAACAAGATCAACTGCCGAAGTGAATAAATCACTTCCTTATAAATAGGACTCAAACATAAATTCTTGCATGAAGGAAAAAGAGAAGGGAAGGGAAAACCACTGATATGACATGAACTTGCTTTGTAAATTTAATAAAATTTCACTTCAGATATAAGTAACTTTGTTTCAGTAAAACCAAAACACACCCACTGCCATTGAATAGATTCCGACTCATAGCAACCCTGTAGGGCGGAGTAAATCTGCCCCATAGGTTTTCAAAGTTGTAAATCTTTCCAAATCTGTCTCCTGTGGAGCAGCTGGTGGGTTCCAACTGTCAACCTTTTGGTTAGCAGCCTAATGCCTTAACCATTGTGCCACCAGGCCTCCTCTGCTTACACTCCAGTGATTATAAAAATGAAGAGACTTTCCATTCCTCTTCTTAGAAAGCATTTGTTTACATTTCAGAGCCAAAGTCTCTCCCCCTCTCCCTCCCTCACTCTCAGAGAAGGGACAGCTATCTCTTTCTATGTGGACTCCAAGTTTCATAATTTCAAAGTTCCTCTCTCATGGTATAAGCCACAGCATATACCCCAGAATATAGCTGGAATTCATTGCATCATCCTGTGAGGAATTGGAGCATGGAGAACCATACAAGTTGTGCTGTGAGTAAAGCACCAGTCTGATCCCTGATCCAGCAGCCTAGTGTTCATGTATACATACCCATAGACACACTCACATTCACATATCATATATACACAACCACACACATTCATGTGTGAGGGTACAGACATACATACTGTGCAAGTAGAGAAACATATCAGATGCTTCACAGTGTCAGACTTTCCAGCCACATGTAAAAAACAAACAAACAAACAAAACCTCTTTTATTGATTTCCTCCCACCTCACACTCTTTTTCCCCCATTACTCCTCAATCTGGTTATCCTACTTAAGAAGTCAACTAAAGGGATTTTCAATGCAAGCAGAACAATTTAGTAACACACCAAATTAATTGCTCTCATTTCTAATATCATTGATGACTAGATACTTTTGTTGGTTCAATTACTTCTCTGTTTCTTGTCTTACATCTGCTTCCTTGCTGAGACCGTGCAGCCATGACTCTGTTAAGGCTACTTAGGTGTCATTGATATATAAGCCTAGGAGATGCTATCTTCAGTAACTCTTTATTGTCAAGATTTCCAAACTGCTGTGCTTCCAGAACCCTATACATAGAGTAATAGGTTGATAGATAGCTGCCATCAAGTCAATTCTGACTCATGGCAACCTTATGAGAAACAGAAAGAAACTGTGCCCTATCATGCTTCATCCTCCAGTTGCCCACGTTTGAATATTGTGGCTGTTGTGCCAAACCACCTCACCCAGGGTCTCCCTTACCGTTGCTAACCCTGTATTCCACCAAATAGGAGCTCTGGTAGTGCAGTGGTTAAAGCACTCAGCTGCGAACCAAGAGGTCGGCAGTTTGAACCCACCAGCCACTCCACAAGAGAAAGATGAAGCAGTGTGCTTCTGTAATAATCTGCAGCCTTGGAAACTTTGCGGGGACAGTTCTACTCTGTAATATAGGGCTGCTCTGAGTCAGAATTGACTCAGTGGCAGTGGATTTGGTTTGTTTTATTCCAGTGACTGATCCCTCCTGATGATGTGTCCAAAGCAATCAAGTCAGACAATGTTCTATTATAATCTATAAGGTTTTCACTGGCTAATTTTGGGAAGCAGATTACCAGACCTTTCTTCCTAGTCTGTCTCAGTCTGGATGCTCCACTGAAACCTTTCTACCATGCTGATCCTGCTGGCATTTGAAATACTAGTGCCCTAGCTTCCAGCATCATAGCCACATGCAAGCCACCACTGGAAAACAAACTGACAGACAGGGATGCTTTTAATCACTATGTTATACTTCTCATTTTATTGTATGAATTGGAACAAAAGAAAATCCACCACAATCCTTTGACAAAGGTTGTCAAATGGGAAAATAATAACACAAATTATTTTATTTGCCATTGAATCTTGAAAACAGCAACATTCTTAGCTAGTTCTTTTACCAGTACTATACAAACATGAGTACTCTTGACCCAGTGCTGACATCTAGCCTCACATGCTGGTTTTATTGCATCTGTTTTAAAGATTGCAGTGGAATATCCCCAGGGATTGAAAAGTAATTTACTTCAGACGTTTGGACATAGTGGAAGTGGAGAGGTAACAGAAGAGATATTTGAAAATACTGACTGTGGACCATGGTGGAAAAAAATTTTATTCAGCCTGTGTTTTTTCAATGCTATGATCAATGAAAGAAAAAATTACGGTATATTGGGCTGGAATATTCCTTATGAATTTAGCTCTTCAGATTTGGAGGTAAGTAACAACAAATAAATAACAATAAGATACATACTGAGAGCCTATTTATATGCCCATATAAATACTAAGTGTTTTTACTTGAACTCTGTAACAAGGCAATAAGGGCTAATGTTTGAAAGCATGGGCTTTGAAGCCAAATTTCCTGGAATCAAATCACTCTGCCACTTATGGATGTATAAGTACTTAATCTGTTGATCAAGCTAGTTAACCTGTCTCTGAATCTCAGTTTCCTTGGCCAAAACAGTGGGATCTGGGAGTAAATATCAGTGTCTACCTCAAAGGGTAATTTTAAGAGGCAAAATAATTAACCTAAGTAAAGCACTTAGAACATTGCTGACACATATTAATCACTATAAAAGTGTTTGTCATTATTGCTTTTCCATTTAAAGCAAGAGAGATTACACTGACCCACTGTGGGGAGAGGTGGTAATGTTTAATAATTTAATAATAATCCTTCTTTAGTATTTAAAAAAAAGAAAAAAAAACTCTCTACTTATACTCTATTGTAGGGTCTTTATTATTAAAGTGTCTACTGTGGTAGCTACTGTAATAACACCTGCTTAACTTTCTCTCAAATTATTTATCTTGCATATGTGTTCCCAACACAGAATATTGCACCCCTGATTATCTTATTAGGTGCTAGAGCACATATGCAGCCAGGGATCTAGGTAAGGGGAGGGTGGAGAGATTTCGAACAGCTAAGGGAGACAAACTTGTCTGTCAGTTTGTCTTACTGTGGTGGCTTGCGTGTTGCCGTGAGGCTTGAGGCTGTGCCACCAGTGTTTCAAAAGCCAGGAGGGTTGCACATGTGCACAGGTTTCAATGCAGCTTACAGACTAGGAAGAAGGAAGAGGCTATCCACTTCTCGAAGAATTGGCCAGAGAAAACCTTATGAATAGCAGAGAAACACTGTCTGATACACTACTGTGTAACTTTATGAATAGCCCAGAAACATTATCCAATACAGCACAGGAGGATGAGACACTTAGGTCATAAGGCCTAATACTCAATGGGTATTTCAGTGTTACAGCCCTTGACCCATGTTACTGTTCTTTTAGGAGCTCTGGTGATGTAGGAATTAAGGCATTTGGCTGCTAACCAGAAGGTCAGTGGTTCAAACCCAGGAACTGCTCCACAAGAGAAAGATGAAGTAGTCTGCTTCCATAAAGATTTATAGTCTTGAAAACATATGGGAAGTTCTACTCTGTCCTACAGGCAGAGTCAGATTCAACTCCGTGGTAGTGGGTTTGGTTTGGGTTTGCCTCCTCTCTCTCTGCTTCTTCATTATCTTCTTTCTTCCTTTTGCTTCTTCCTGCTGCTTCTCTTCCTGCTTTTTTGTCTCCAATCTCTGTGAAAGTAACTACTTATATCAACAACTCCTTGTAAATTTCTTCTTTTTTTTTTCTTAATTGTAATTTGGGTACAAATTTACCAAAAAAGATTTATTCTACTCCTAAAAGTTCATGCACATTTGATTTCACAGCCCCAATTACAATCCCCAACCATAAAAAAAAAAACTCTCTTCCCCTCTCCTCCCTGTGACCACTCCTTCCCTGTGTATTTCTGTCTGCCCAGCTTTCCCTCTATGTGAATGCTGCCCCTCTGATGTCTCATGGCTGATTGATCTCAGGGGTGCATTGCCCTAGGGTAGGTGGGTGCATCTCCATGGGGTAGGTGCTCTGCTTGTAGATCTTTCTACTGTTGGGCTGAGAGCCAATTCATAGAAGTGAGTCTATTTCCAGGATAACCCATTTCCAGATAACCCAGGGCCATATTCTCAGGGGTTCCATTAGTCTCTATCTGACCAGTAATTCTGGTCATTTTTGTGTTTCTGAATTTTGTTCCACAATTTTCCTACCACTCTATCCAGGATAACCAATTTTGATCCCTTTCCAAGTGGTTGACACTGGTAGCCAGGCACCATCTAGTACTTCTGGTCTCAGGGTCATGAAGGCTGAGGTCCCCATGGTCCATCATATCTTTGGACTAATTGTTTCCAAATGACTTTGATTTTCTTCACTCTTCTTTGCTCCAGACAAAAGAAGACCAATAGTTGCATCTTAGATGGCCACTCATAAGCTTTTAAGACCCCAGTCACTACTCACCAAAATAGGTTGTAGAACCAGATTTTTAGGTACTATGTTGTGCCAGTTGAGCATGATGTCCCCCGCATCTACGGTTCTGAGCCCACAGGCCCTGTGATTCTCTCTTGCAAGGTGTCTGGTCATCTCTGAGAAGCTAGTCCAACCTCGTCCTCTGTTACTTCTGTATTGCATGTGGATAATTTTGTAGCACAAGTACATATGTAAGAGTATTTTCAGCCAAATCTATCCTTGGTCTTGGGTATATCCCTGTTTGCCTACCCCCACCTGATCTGCTCACCTGTCTATCCATTTACCCATAACCTAGTGTTTGGTGCCATTGGTAATGCAATATCCTGCATGTAATAGTATTTGCCTCTACTGTCTATATCTTTTGTGCACATTTCTGTGCCCTCCCTTTCCCCATTGTCACCATTCTGGTCACAGACTCTTTTCATACCACCCCTTTCCTCACAGAAATGAACATGTAATCCTCAATTAGTGTGAAATTTTTCCTCCCCTCCCATCCCTGGTAACGAACAAAGTGAATTTCCTTCCTTGCATAAACCTTTCCTTGACTTTTTATAAAAACGGACTCATGCAATATTTGTCCTCCTGTGATTGACTTATTTCACTCAGCAAAATATCCTCCAAATTCATCCATGTTGTGAGATGATTCATGTATTCTTCATTATTCTTTAATGTTCCATAGTCTTCCATTGTGTGGATGTACCATAGTTTGGTTACCCATTCATCTGTTGACAGGTATTTAGGTGGTTTCCATCTCTGCTATAGTGAATTGTGCTGCATTGAACATGGGTGTGCATATGTCTATTCATGACCTGGCTCTCACCTCTTTAGGATATATTCCTAATAATGGAATTGCTGAATCAAATGGTATTTCTACTTTCAATTTTTTAAGGAAACACCATACCATTTTCAACAGTGGGAATACCATTTCACAGTCCCACCAGCAGTGTATGAGAGTTCTAATCTCTCTACACCCTCACCAGCATTTGTTTTTTTCTGTCTTGTTAAACTTTGCTGTTATTGCTGCGGTGAGATGACAGCTCATTGTTAGGCTTAGTGCCTAAGGCATTTGACTGCTGCTAATCAGAAGGCTGGTGGTTCAAACCCTCCAGCCACTCCTCAGAAGGAACATTGGGCAATCTACTTCCATAGAGATACTGCCTTGGAACTAGATAGATAGATAGATAGATAGATAGATAGATAGATAGATTCTGAATTCCTTATCAGATAGTTCTATTACTTGTTCTTCCTCAGGGAGTTACCTAATTCTTTAGCTTGGGTACTTGTTTCTACTATCTTGTCCTGTTTTTTTTGTTTGTTTGTTTGATCTGAAATTGTCTGTTGTCTGTTGTTTCCTAGACATTATAAAGTTGTTGCCTTTATTTGGTAGTTATGCACTGATTTGTTTCACCCTGGTTTTATGTTTTACTATATCTGGAAGTGTGGAGCACTAGAAGTCCAAATTCAAAGTTCTAGGCTCTAGGGGCTGGATGAAATCCCCTCAACCTTGGGCTTCAGCTCTGCCTCCTACTCCCAGCCCACTGAAGTCTGGAGTCTTTCTTCATGCAGGCAGCTGCTGGCTGCTAAGGCTGACAAACCCAACATTGACAGATAAAAAGCACAGACCTGATATTACCAAACCACATGACAGGCCATTGACTCAAGTCCATTAAGAGTCCCAAGATCAGCAGACAACATGGCACATGGCAGACTACTGAGTAATGACTTGGCTCCCTGCAGGAGTCACTTGTGGCAAAAGCTGGAGACCTTCCTCAAAGCTCCTGCTTATATACTGGAAACAGCTCACATCCCTAAAGCAGCTACTCAGCTGCTCTGCTACATTCCACCATGGAGTTGATTATCAATCTCACCATAGGGAATAACTGCATCCATCTGCCCAGCCACTTAAAACCAGGCCCAGCCAAGCTGACACATTGTCCTATTAAAGGATGATTTATGTGTTCTGGACCCCTTTCATTGGGTGCACTGTTGTTGTTGTTGTTGTATGCCATGGAGTCAGCCCCAACTCATAGCAACCCCTCCTTAGATTTCCAAGGCAGTATCACTACGGAAGTAGATTGCCCAACCTTCCTTCCGAGGAGTGGCTGATGGGTTTGAACCGCCAGCCTTCTGGTTAGCAGTCAAGTGCCATAGGCACTAGGCTACCAAAGCTCCTATTGGGTGCATAGATATTTATTATCGTTGTGTCCGCTTGTCGGATTGACCCTTTAATCATTATAAAATGATCTTTCTCGTCTCTTATGCTGATTTTTGCCCTAAAGCCTATTTTATCAGAAATTAATATTGCCACTCCTGATCTTTTTTTGGTTGCCATTAGCTTGATATATTTTTTTCCATCCTTTGATTTTAATTTATTTTTATCTTTATGTCTAAGCTGAGTCTCTTGTAGGTAGTATAGTGATGGGTCATGTTTTTATCCATTCTGCACTCTCTGTCTCTTGAATGATGTGTTTAATCCTTTTATATTCAGTGTAATTATCAAAGGTACAAATTTAATCCTGTCCTTTTGTTATGGGTTTTGCTTTTGTTTTTGGTGTTTGTGTATGTGTGTGGTGCTGATAATTTCTGTGTTTCATATATTTTGCTGTGCTGAGTTCATTTTGTTCACGAATTTTCTTCTCATTTCTCTCATAGCTGTTGATTTTGTGCTTGTCTTTATGGTTTTCTTCTTTTTTATTTTGGTTAGAAAGTTTATTAATTTTCTTTGTAGTTACTTTGTAATTTATTATTATCTTCTTAAGTTTCAAACAGTCTGTTCTATTTTGATATCATCTTGACTTCCTCTCCATTTGGAAATTCTGTAACTACTCCATTTAGTCCCTCTTTTTGCTTTGTAGTTGTCATTATTTACAAATTGAAATCTCT